AAGAATTCATTGATAAGAAAACCACATCTTTAGATGTGGTTACTCACCACATATACAATCTTGGACCAGGTAAAATATACTTCATCATTTACAATCCGGTATTTGAATCTTCTAGGAGCTTTAAAGACTTGAAAATAATATTCTTCTGCGTAGGAGATGATACCAACCTTGTTGAAAAGATACTCGATCCTTCCATTCTCGATGGCATGTCTGGAACATACAGCGGCCTTCATAACATAATCAAGAATTCTGCAACTTCAGCTACTGCATGGGTGGGGGAGGCAGTAGGAGTTTACAACAGCGGCCATAACCTTGTTACAAATGCGTTTGTCTTCAGTTTCTGGTAAAGTGGCAATAACTTTCCTCCAACAAGCTTAGGCCTTTTGCTGTGACTGTGATCGATTTGTATGTGATCGTAACTTGGACATGAAATGCAGGTATCTAGATCAGATGGGAATGGCATCAAAGTATTATACTAAAACTTACTGCAGACAATCGTTGATCGGCGGAAATTACGGTTTACTGAACACTACCACTTTTGTACCAAATCCTGACTACTACAGGTTATTGCTTGTTCTCTCCGCCCTTATCACTGCAACCATTTGTTTCCAAGCACTTCAGTTATGCTACCATACTCTGCTTTACTCCGTTGCAGCGCTCTCCTTTGGAATCGATTAATGGGAAGAAATGTTCTGTCTACAAGATTCGACGGGACTAGAAAGATACGCGCTTACACGCATTTTGCAAAACAATCAAGCCTCATATTACAATTATGCAGTAGGTAATCCTTTATTTTCTTTGTATTCGACCGATGTGTCCCATGTTGCTGGAAGGAATCACCCTACTATTGATCAACCTAGACGGAAGCATTACTGTCCAAGCAAAACTTGCATTCAACGATATAACAACGATCGTATGTCACGAGCACAGGTTTCGGATGTTGCACGATCGGCACGAATGGTACAATCATCTACAGCCTTTATCGATCGTGTTCATTCGCGGACTGTCATTTTCCCTGCTTTCGAGTTTCAACGCTGAAGAGAACTAAAGTAATTAACACTCAAATTATCAACAAAAAAAAAAACTAACGCTGATTATTTGATTGAGTCGAGTTAGAAAATTTTGAGAAATAATATTTATCTGACGTGACATTACTTCTCGCTAGTTTTATATGTGACACTACTTGTTGTTAACATTTATTTCTTCTTAAATTCATAAGCAAAGAATTTATAAAGAAATAAAAAAATATTTATTTTTAAAAAAAAATTTAAAGTCATTTAGTGTTTATTTGATTATGAAGAATCTTTTTTAAAGAGATTTAGCAACTAATAATACTTAGACCAGACCAAAAATAAATATTATTAAGGAATAATTTCTATTTTTCATGTATATAAATATATATTATTATGTTAATGAGATATATGTTCTTATTTTGTAAGAAAATCTGGATTTACAGCTTAAGTTTTTTTGGGTTATATTTGAAAAATGTTTTGGCATAATCTAAATAATCCTCTAAAGACATGTTTTGATTTTTTCAATTAGAAAACATAGCAACTTCTAAAATCAAATTCCTAAAATTAAAATCTCTTACAATCAATTTAAATATTTTTCTCCTGTTTTTCTCTCACTACATTCATAAAGTTTGCTTTTTATTACAATAAGCTTTGTTGCAGGTTTTTTAAGACAAATCTCAAGCTAAAAATCAGACATTAATAAAGATGATTACTCCAAGTTTTGCAATTCATTCATTAAATTTTCTATTTTTTTTTTCAATTTCAAGCTTTGTTGTAGTCCTAAAAATCAGACAAAAATTGTCTGTAAGTGCTAGATTTTAATGGAGATTGCTCCTCTAAATTCACTAGAAGTTCTTCATATACTACTGATTCACGGAGCCTCTTTGGAAGGAAACATCGACCGCTGAAGCATTGTTCCAAGTATAAGGTTGTAGCATGCCCAATCCCAATCAATTGAGTAGTAACATGCATAAATGTATGAATTAACCGGAGCTAACGTGGCATGTTAGATAAAACTAACGGGAGGTAACGTCAGTGATTTTACTGAAAACGAACTAAAAGTTTAATTGTTGTATTGCAAGTTTTAAAAGTTGAGTGACCAAAATGCAAGCTCCCTAAACATTCAGTGACAATTTATGTAGTTTACCTTATTTTAAAATATCTTCTTAACTAAATATTAAAAAGTCACGTTGTTTAATTATATATATATGTGTTTACAATAATATTGAAAAGTCACCTTATTTTAAAACTAATGGAATTGTCTGGAATTAATGGCAATGGTAGCAGAGAGCAGTGTGAAATTGATTGAAGATACGAGCCATGCATGTATCTCCTCCACCCGGTTCAGTCCCCACAACTTGTGTCCCTCTCACCTTCTTCGATGGAATTTTCCTACTTCGTCCACGGTACACTTGGACGCGACGCATATTTTTCTATGAATTCAAACACACCGCTTTGCATCTCATGCAAACAATCCTCCCCGATCTCAAAACATCTATCGCTCACCCTGCAACATTTCTTTCCTTTCGCCGGAAATCTCGTTCCCTCCACCTCCTCGGATGCCTTACATTTTTTACACGGAGAGTAACTCCGTTTCGTTTTTCGTTAAGGAATACACGGTGGATTTTAACCGTCTAGTGGGTGGTGAACATGCACTAGAGCATCAAGAACTTGAAGCTCTTGAGTCTTGTCCCACAGAAGCCACCTGCTGCAATTGCAAATGACACCAATGGGATGCATGCAAGAAACCATGATGGCCATTCAAATCACTGTAAGGGTACCCGCGGGGGGTGGTCTCCAAGAGCAGAGCACCAACTTCTCTTCTTACGTAGAATAGCATCAGAGGCACGCGATAAATCAGCAAGGAGGTCCTCTTTCCTGAAAGGTGCCCCTTTGAACTTCGCTTCTAACCAACAAACCACCCTAACTCTAGCAGAAAATATCACCTGTCTCACATCAAGATTCTTTTGATTAAATACCAGCTCATTTCTATGTAACCATAATGACCAGATCACTGTCAATGGAATAATGCCCAAACAATTCCACACTTGGAACCTATAGGGAGAAGCTCCTTCCACGCCATAAGGAATAACTTGGGGTCATTGGGCAAAGCAGAGGAAACCTCCCAAATTTGAAGGAAAGCTCCCCCCATACCCTCCAAGCGGCACAACACGAGAAAAATAAATGGGGTACCGATCCCTCGCATTCCATACACAAAGGGCAGCAGCTATCTGACACCACATTTATTCCACGTTTCACCAGTTTCGATCTAACCGGGACTCTTCGGAGAAGGACCCGCCAGACAAACGCCTCTACCTTGTAAAGAGCAATTCCTTGCCATATTAACGCTTTCCAGTCAAACTCAGCTCTGCCCGGAGGGAATTGCAATGCCGCTACTGCCTTTGTCGAGAAACGTCCATCATTGTTCCCCGGCCACTTTACTCGATCAAGGTTAAACACTGAAGCTCCAAACTCATGCAACAATCGAAATAAGGCATCGCATTGGTCTCTCTCCCAGTCAAAAACATTCCTCCTGAACTGAATGTTCCAAACACATCCATTATTTGTTTTAGTTCCGAAATCCGATACTTTCCCTTCTTTATTCAGTGCAAGCGCGAACATTCTATGGAAAGCAATCATTAGTGGGCAATTACCAATCCAGGTATCTTGCCAAAAGTTCACTATCCTCTCGTCGTCGACTTGGATTTTGAAGGTATCTCTAAGGTTTTGGCCACCAATCTCCTTGTTGAAATTCTGTAGAATGTCCCGTTATATCCATGACAAGCCTCGGCCCCTCGGACTCGGAGGACAGATATTACCTGGATCAAAGTTATACTCGGCAGCAACGATGCGTTTCCACCGTAAGGAGACCTTCCACCCAAAACGCCAGCACCACTTCCCAAGCAATCCACAATTCTTAACTTTCAAATTGATGATACCTAGTCCACCCCATTCAATCGGCTTGCAAACATCCAACCACCTCAGCCAATGTATCCCCTTTTTCTCTTGCGAAGCTCCCCATAAAAATCTCGAGAATATGTTGTTCAATTTGTTATATACCGAACTCGGCATTCTGAATAAGGACAGAAAATATATCGGAAGGTTAGTCAAGACCGCCTTAATCAGGGCTATTTTGCCCCCAAAAGATAGAGTGTGACTTCCACCCTGCGAGCCTCTTCTCCACTCTCTCCATGACCGGCTGCCAAATCAACCTAGTATTTCTCTTTGCTCTTAACGGTAGGCCCAAGTAGTCTGATGGCAGCTTGCCTTCCGTGCAGCCGACCTTGAATGCCCAACCACGCACCTCATGAGCACAGGTATTGACACCGAAAAGTGTACATTTCTTAAGGTTCAATTTTAATGCCGATGCAAGTTTGACTCTGTTTTTTCCATAACCATCTTCTAGCCTTCTAGGGTCAGGACCTCTCCCTGTACCGACAAACCTCTTACTCTGGTCAAATCGATAGTCCTAGAGGGATATCTCACCATCGAAACAGAGATAATGTGATCATCTATTCTCGACTTACTCATCCTTCTTATTGTCGACTCCATATGCCCACGAGAAGCAAAACATGCGAAAGTAGAACTACTATATCTTGGTTTGTTGTTGATCGTCAGAATGCAGACCAAGTTAACCTTACCGTGATGGTTGAACGCCTCCCTCAATGCTTCTCTCGAGGCCCGTTTGCTCAAGTTATCTACAAAAATCGTCCATTCCTCCCCTGTGTCGCCATTCTTCTCCCTCTGCCTGCTGACTCCTCGCATTCTTGTTCAACAATAAGAGGTGAAGAGTTGTACTGCTTGTTGATTGATTTACAAGCAAATGAGAGTCGCTTCCTCCATTGTGCAATTATTAAAAGTGAAAAAGCATGTCGGAGATTAAACTTCTAACAAGAATCAGTTAAATCAGAGGAATCATTAGATTTTCTTATTATGATAATCACCACAATGAAATGTGGGAACTTATTTGGTACCATCAACAAAATGGAGTGCTAAAGCAACAGAAATTTAATGATACAACATCATCATCTCCCTTCCAAAGAATAAGTAGAAAATCAAAACAAACTGATACCAATAAAATCCTCCAACATAGGGATAACTCAGAATCTGGTAATCGAATGAAGTCGACAAAATTTTGAGTGAAACATCACATTCCTTGGGCCATGCCTCGATTGGAATCAGATCACCAACATCTCTTTCATTATTAACTTCTGGCAATTCTTCTTGTCCTAATGTTTTCCTAGTCTACAATTTCCTTCTATTTATTCAGAAACAGAACCTCTTCTAACATCATTACTGCTTCCCACAGGCCACAGTGCATTAGAAATAAGTTAAAAAGAAAAAAGAAACCTTCACTTTTGCAGCTACAATGGCGGGCATAAGGTTGGCAGACAGCTGGTTCCAAAGTGAGCAATGGGAGACCCAATCACCATAATGTAGAAATTACATCAAGTAAAATCCTTCACAAGAAAAGTAAACATTGTCAAAACAGTATAAGGATGATAGAATGGTTAACTAATTAACACATACATAGAAACATACATAAATATATGTATGTAACATTGTATCCATCAGAATTATTCTAATTAAAAGGGGGAGGCAGGAAGAGATGAAATTAATGGGGCAGAATTTTTTTTAGCAACTCAGAGTATAGCCAAGAACAACAAACAAGATTCGACTGCGATGGTGCATAAAGTATCTGTGTCCTAGCAAAAATCCATTAATTACAAAAATTAAAATAAAACAATCGGATGCAATAGAGAGAAAAAAAAGTTACACGTGACAAGTATATGGAATGAAATGGTCACAACAGTTACATATTACAAGCATGGCATTTATCAATCAACACAAAAGCCTTGATTTCAAAACTTTTGGCTTCAAAAGCCTTTTGATCTTTTGAAAATGAAATAGATATTGAAATGGATAATAAGATAAAGGAAGATTAACCATATAACTTACGGATAAAACAAAAACATAAAGTTAGCTGATTTTAGCACTCTCTGGAGAAGATGAAAGTGAACCATTTTGCTTGACTGATTTCTCCTGCAATACCTCGAGCTTCTCTGAATTTCCAAACAGTTCTTTCCGAAGAACACCATGCAATCTACCAAAGAGCTGCTTCTTCGATGACTCAAAGGCAAAATCCATTCTCTCAAGCTGTTCCATTGCATTTACATTGTACATGAACAACCCATAATAAAGATCGAAGCTGTCTCCAGATGTATTCTCCACCAACTTCAACAATGTCTCATAACCTTTTGTGTTAATAGGTGTCGAGGCCAATTGTAGTTTCTCTAAAACCCTGCCCATCGTATGGGTGATGAATTGTGAACCTGCCGCATGTCGGTCATGTTCTGCACAAGTCATCTCCACCATTTGACATCCTTCTCGGGCAAAAATATCAAGGAACCTATTACACCGAGCTACTCGTCTTTCATCATTTCCAATCCTCACCTTATCGAAAACAAAAGGAAGCCCATTCCATCCATTTTTACCACTTTCGGGTCCAAACATGGGGTGCGTACATAGAATATCAAACTCTGCCGGTAAATGTTGAATAAATAAATTCATTGGAAACTCCTTCACTGATAGTACATCAACAAACAGAGTACTTCTCTTCAGTCTCTGAAAGGGCATTGACTTGAGAACTTTTTCAGTCGAAAGAATCGAGGTGCAGAGGAGAATAACTTCTGGATGCTCTTCACAGAGGTCATTAGCATCAGAGAAGAAAGAAACCCCCAACTTTTTAGCTGCATCCCGGTAATCAGTTCGAGAATAGGTTAAAACTGAGTGGCCCTGGCGAGCCATAGTCTTTGCTAGGAACTGCCCAAAGTTTCCAAATCCAACAATCGCAATCTTTAGCTTTGAACTGTCATCAACACTTTCAGATATCTTTCCTTTGAATTCATAAGGTATAATATCTTGAGATCTGAAAGTTCCAATAAAAGACCATAAATATATTAACAGCTTGAATCACAATAATCCCAACTTACTTTCTTCCACGGCCAAGCAGTTTTAAAAGTCAGCTAATCCTAGATCAATTGTAAACATCTCAAACTATTATGAATTAAATATGAAATTAAACATGTCAAGGAAGAAAAAAAATATTGAAACACTTCACTTCTAGCAATCCAGTCCATGAGCTTAATAAAGTGTTGTCAAGGCATGCGCTAGCATTATTCAACAAAAGTGCGTCATACCCCGTCAGTCCAGGCCCATTTGACCTAGGCATGCCTTTTTGTAAGGTGGTAGGTATAGGAAAAGCCCATCTGATTGAATTTCTCTTTAATTTCTTTTATTTTCACTTTTTTCTTTTCATTTGTTACAGCTTTACCAGTGAGAAAACTATAATATCAAACTACATACTTCGTAATATTTGAACATTCAGCGACAAATATTGACCATAAGGAAATTATGCATATTTACCAATAAAAAAATTGCATGTTTTGTAGATAAACTACACTCTTCATCATATATCTTAAGCTTTATATATATATATATATATATATTATGAATACTCGCATATATACATATTGTGCTTTACTTCACTCAGGCTAGCTTCTTTTTTGCATCTTGCACATGAAGCAATATAAGAGTTCACCTAGAGTGTGCTTTCTATAGCCACATTTACTACAATAACTATATGTGAAAATGATTTAATATCTATTTCTAACCAAATTCTACAAATTTAATATTTAAACAACTATCAAAACCGAAGCATTAAGAATAACAGCCTATAAAACAAAGAAAGATTCTAAATTCTTTGTGATTTTCCATATTCAACTGATATAGAAAATCTTAGCATTTTAAAGCTAAATGAATAGCTACTATCTATGTCATGCATGTTGAATTGAACCAACAATTAAATTCTATAGCCACATTTACTACAATAACTATATGTGAAAATGATTTAATATCTATTTCTAACCAAATTCTACAAATTTAATATTTAAAAAACTATCAAAACCGAAGCATTAAGCATAACAGCCTATAAAACAAAGAAAGATTCTAAATTCTTTGTGATTTTCCATATTCACCTTCAACTGATATAGAAAATCTTAGCATTTTAAAGCTAAATGAATAGCTACTATCTATGTCATGCATGTTGAATTGAACCAACAATTAAAGAAACAAAAGTGGAATCCTCGAAATACCTCAGAGCATTCGAGCTTAAAGCCGATGCAGCATCATTTTGGTAACTACCATCATGCAGACTCTTAACCTTCTCTCCTTTATCAAACAACTGTTTCCTCACAACCTGATGCAGCCTGCCAAAAAGCTCATTCCTCAAAGCATCAAAGGCCAAATCTAACCTCTCCACCATCTCCAAAGCACTCTTATTATACAAAAACAACCCATAGTACAAATCAAAGCTATCCCCACAAGTATTGTCCACCAAATTCAATAAAGCCTCGTAACCCTTGGTATTAATCGGCGTTGACTTCAACCCCAACATGTCCAACACTCTGCCGACAGTGTGTGTCATAAACTGTGAGCCCGCCGCAAACTTGTCGTGCTCCTGGCAGCTCATTTCCACCATTTTACACCCTCGGTTTCGAAATATTTCAAGAAATTGTTCACACCTTTGGACCCGGGAGGATTCATTCCCGATTCTAACTTTTTCGTAGACAAAGAAGAGGTCATTCCAGCTTTGCCTGGCGCTTTGTGGTCCGAACATGGGATGAGAACAAATGATGTCGAAATCAGCAGGCAAGACATCGAGGAGCAGGTTCCTAGCGAACTCCTTCACCGATAAAACATCGATGAACAATGTGGACCGTTTCAGTCTCTGTAAAGGAAGAGTTTTGAGAACCCGTTCGGTCGAGATAATCGAGGTACAAAGGAGTATAACTTCTGGGTGTTGCTCACATAAGTCGTCGGGGTTTTTAAAGAAGAAAACTCCCATCTTTTTGGCTACATGGGAATAGTCGGATCTCGAGTGGGCTAAAACTTTATGACCCTGAGAAACAAGAGTTTTGGCAAGGAATTGGCCGTAGTTGCCAAAACCAATGATGGCAATCTTGAGGGAGGAAACGGGTCGGGTATCGCATGGATCGGGTTCGGATGCGGGAGTGGTGGAGCAACATTTGATACAGAGTGGTTTAGCAGAGTGCACAAGTATGGGTTTTGTGGGTTTTTTTGGAAGGAAATAGAGAGATTGGAGGAGAGGTGGAGAGGCAGAGGAAAGAAGGGAAAGAGAGTGCTTGGGAAGAGATCGATGGAGAGAAGGATGACAAATCATGGCGCGTTTTGCAGAGAGGAAATCTCTCAGGCTATGCACCCGACAAGGATGACCGCTAAAAAATGGGGCTTTGTGACAACGTGGGATGTTCGGCCCTTTGGTGTTTGGGTCTTCGAAACTGGCTATGAGACTGAATACGTAAAGGAGGTGCCGTTTTTAGCGGCCCTATAGGTGGCAGTGGCAACATTTTGGATAAGCTATACAAATAGTTTTATTTATTTTTTGTTTGATGATTTTAGTTATCAGTTTAAAAATTAAACATGTAGTCTATTATGTTATGGATTTATTCGATTAAGATTCTTAATCATTAATTCTAATTAATCTCTTAATAAAAGTGTTACATAAATTAAAAAAATTACGTGTTATGTATTCTTCTTTTTAAAAAAAATCATATACTATGTCTTTTTCTTGTTCTTTTTCAAAATCCACCTATTATGTGGCTTCCTCACCCATCTTATTAGTCTGAAGACGCCGTGCATTCATGGGGTCTTCTCCATTTGCCTGAAGATGACATGCAATCGTGGGGTCTTTTTCATTTGTCTGAAGAAGTCATGTAGTCATGGAGTCTTCATATTTAGCTTGAAGACGCGTGGAGTATCTGGTATCTTTAGGTTAATATTGTTTAATTCACCCTCGATGGAGAAATAATCCCCAAGGTGAACTATATTGGGAATTAAAAAATCTCTTATATTATCTCCGCCATTTTCTCTTATTATGTTTTGTTTTTGTTTTTCTTCTTTATAGGTAGGGTTTAGAAAACAACTAACTTCTAATTACCCAAACCAAAAGGTGAAAGAGGATTTAATTAATAAATAAATAACCATGAATTTTTTAGCTTGATCCAAGGCAGCACTGAAGTTCAAAATATAGAAGGGTAGAGTTTTGAATCTTCTTTCGAGTCAAACTCTCACAATTATCCACCACCAATAATATCATGCACAACACGTTCTCGATCATTAATAATAATCTTATCTTTAACCATTCAATTCTTAACACTTTAGCCTCATTGAATCTTTGCAGTGGTTTATTTCTCTCTCTATTTTCGAAAAATAGAATAATGTGAAGAAACAATCATTCTCTTCATGTTAATCCTTGTATCGAATTGAAAATTCTTCTCAAATATGTTATGTTCGTATAATTGAATTTTCTGCTTCTCAAATCTATTATATTCACATAATAAAATTTTCTTTTACTTCTCAAATTCGTTATTCCCACACAATGAAACTCTTTTTCTCTCTCAAAATTGTTGTGTTGTTCTTTGTTTTGTTTGACATAAAATTTTCATTTGTTTGATTCAGTCAAGATATGATTACTAATATTGTCATCATCATCGGATAAGAAAGAGAAAATAACAACCTTATATTTATAATTATTGAATCTTACATAAAAAATTTGACATTATTTTTTTTATTACGAATTTCGTAATAAGAAAAGGACTCTTACAAATTTTCATACATTTATCTGCCACAATGCGAATTTAATGTTATAATCCAACCATAAAATTTCATACTTAAATGACATCATTATCATTATCGAGTTAAAATATAACCAGGGATAGACCTTAGCGGAGGCGGTCACCCCCATGAGAATTGAAAATTATTATATATTTTAGATTTTTTATATGTATTTTTTATTGAAAATATATTTTCTCTCCTATAGAATTTTTATAGGTCCAAGTTCTCCCTTGAAATTTTATAAGATTAAATTCGTCCCTAAGTATAACTATAACATCTCATACTTTTCTCAGTTATCTCTTTATTAATATATGTCACGTTGAATTCAAGTCAAAATATAACAATTGAGTTCTTATAGAGAGGTCTTGCATGAATATTCCACCAAGCTAAAGAAAATGGCGGATATCCTGTATAAGGCCATGGCAAAATCACTTGACATAGAAGAGAATAGCTTCTCGGGTCAGCTTGGAGACAACCCGGCAACGCATGTGAGGTTCAACTTCTATCCACCTTGTTCGAAACGGGACAAAGTTCTCGGTCTCAAACCTCATTCAGATAGATCCAATGTGACAGTCATACTGCAAGATGAAGAAGTCGAAGGCCTTCAAATTGTCAAAGATGAGAAATGGATCACTGTTCCTGCAATCCCCCATGCTCTTGTTGTTAGCCTTGGTGCCCAAATGCAGGCAAGTATAATAAAGTTCGACCATAGGAAGTAATGGAATTTGTTTGATATGTATTAACTGATGCAGATAATGAGTATCGGGATATTCAAGAGCCCACTGCACAGGGTGGTGACGAACACAGACAAGCTGAGGATATCAGTGGCCGTGTTTAATGAGGCAGTGCCGGAGAAGGAGATAGGACCTGTAGAAGCCTTGATAGACGACAAGAGGCCAAGGTTATGCAGAAATGTGAAAAACTATGCTTTTTTAAACTGAGTGCTATCACAAAGGCAAAGTACCACTCGAGGAGGTAAAATTTCATGCGTAGAAATATGGGATCATGCAAGGATTAAGGCTCTTTATTTGATTCTGATGCATGCCTCTATGCAGTACCTTCATCTGCAAGAATGTTATATAGCCAGTTTTACTGTACTGTTGCCTTGTTTTGGATGTTACTTCATCAAGGCTTATTTGCCTATGATTATCTATAAGCAGAAAAATAAAGTTAAAACGATTATTTAATAAATCAATTATTATTTGATAATTTAAATTTTCAGTAGATCTAATGCATGTTTTCAAAAAAAATTAAGTTCAAATTGAAATTTTTGAAATTTTAAGAGAACCTGATTGAACTTTTCAAAAAAAAAATTAAAGAGTTGAACGTAAAATTTGTGCCCCATCTAGCCCCAGTAGGCAATTATTGTCCGACTCTGTTCACATTAAAAATTGGAACAATAATGGTTGACAGCTTAAAAAAATAAGGGTTCAATTGAAAATTTTGACAAATGTTAAGGATTAATTTTGACATGTTAATTTTCCATACGAAAGAAATTTGGCTAGCCGAGTGCCTGAGCTTGAAGCCCTTTTACCTTTTACCTGCAATTACTAATCATCACAATAGGACCGGTTTTCCTGCAATGTCTTCTGTCCACACTCCACAGTTCAGCCTAAATCTACTTATGAATTTCAGAGCCATAAAAACAGAGTGGTGCTGGGAAAGTGAAACAAAAACACTCTTCCATAAAACAAACAAAAGGTGAAACCAGTTCTCAACTCTTTTCCAGATTGACCATTATCATCAACGATGTAATTGTCAACCCTTTACAAGGGAAAATTTTCACTACTGAATTTAACCTTCAACAGGATATGTCAAAATGTACTACAAACTAAATATACTTAAAAACAGAGTATTAGAACAAGAATCGGCAGGGATTCGAACCATACCCAATGTTTTTGTTTTACTTAAAATATCTTGAAAAGCAGTCCACCGTGTGTAGCAAAGAAGGGTGCAAAGACGAGTGATTCAACAGCCATTAGCTTGATGAGGATGTTCAGTGACGGCCCGGATGTATCCTTTAGAGGGTCACCAATGGTGTCGCCAATAACAGCTGCCTTGTGTGGATCTGATCCTTTAGGACCAAGAGTTCTTGCATGGTCTGAAGCACCGGCCTATATTCGACGACAAAGGCCAGAGCATAAATATAGAATCATTAATTTCAAATTTGTCAAACATAAGGGTGGCTAGGAGAAGTCGGTCAAATCACGGATACCTCGATATACTTCTTGGCATTATCCCACGCACCCCCGGTGTTTGATGCAGAGATGGCAATCTGCAAATATTACCGAGACGGGAACAACAATCAGTTAAAACTTCTGTAGTAAGCATCTCAAGCAATTCAAAAACATATGGTTGTGGTGACACCATATTAAAGACTTGTGAACATTACCTGGACACCAGAAACAAGTGACCCAGCGAGGACACCAGAGAGAGTTTCCACTCCGAAAAAGATCCCAACAATAAGGGGTGTGAGCATAACTAGAGCACCAGGTGGGATCATTTCTTTGATGGAAGCATCAGTAGAGATCTTCACACAGGTGGCGTAGTCTGGCTTAGCAGTGCCTTCCATGAGACCTGGGATCGTGTTAAATTGCCTGCGCACTTCCTCAACCATCTTCAAAGCAGCACTTCCCACACTCTTCATAGTCATAGCAGAGAACCAGTAAGGAAGCATTGCCCCAACAAGCAAACCAATAAAAACTTTAGGGGTCAACACATCAACGGTTGAAATAGCAGCACGACTCACAAAAGCACCAAAGAGGGCAAGGGACACGAGGGCTGCTGAACCAATAGCGAAACCCTGGGGAAAATGCAGAACGTTCAAATGAATACCCATAGTAATGCAAAAATAAATATTACAATTTTTTCAAGAAAACACAAAAATACTACATCGAGCAGAAATCAACTAGACTTCAGACCAGAGTTCAGAAACTGTTTATTATAGTTACAAACAACATGAAAAAAACAAAGGCATCGAATAACTCTTAAAAGTTAAATTTAGCCTGGAAGAAAAAAAAATAAGTAATCAAGATATTGAATAACTCTTAAAAGTCAAATTTACCCTAAAGTGAAAAAAAATAGAATTTCAGAGAACAAGTGCGAGCTGGCTTCAAGGGACCAATATAACATTTTTCCAACGACCATAAGTGCTAACCGTAACACTAAAAGTCTAAAACCTCGTTATGCCAATGCAACATCCAGATGCCATGGATCAAATAAAAGGAGAAAAAGTACTGCTAGTGCTTAAGCAAAAACATATCAAACCTTTCCAATAGCAGCAGTGGTGTTTCCTGCAGCATCAAGAGCATCAGTTCTCTCTCGTATTCTGTGGCTCATGCCAGCCATCTCAGCAATGCCTCCAGCATTATCACTGATGGGACCATAAGCGTCAATAGCCAATCCAGTAGCTATGGTGCTCAGCATTCCAAGGGCAGCAACAGCAATGCCATACATAGCAGCAAAGCTGAAACTAACAAAAATGCTGATTGCGATAGCAAAAATAGGAATAATGCAAGACTTATAACCCAATGCAAGGCCAAAAATAACATTAGTCGCAGCTCCAGTCCTGCAGGAATCAGCAACGTCTTGTACAGGGCTGCAGGAGAAAGTACAGAGAGAGTTAAACTCAATAATAACAAAGGATACTCAAGGACAAAATTACTATCCAGGCTAATTACCTATATGCATTGCTAGTGTAGTACTCCGTTACAAAACCAATAATTAGGCCAGCCCAAAGACCAACAGCAACACATAAGAATAGTTGCCTGCAGAAGAAATTCAACATTATACACTCATTCTAATACAAACATATGACTCTTGCTCTTTCTCAATAAAAGAAGCACTGAGAGCCTACCAGTTCTTCACATCTTTCTGCTCTCCAAAATTGAAAATAGTAAAAGAAGATGGAAGAGCTATCCAACTAACAACTGCGATTCCAATAGTCATGAGAACAGTGGAGATGATAAGTTGCCTCTTCAATGATGGCTCAATTTCCTGAACAGCCTTGATCTCAAAGAAATCAGTTGCAAATAAGGTGGTGATTAAACAAACAATGATACCAACGGAACTAATGATGAGTGGATATAACATTGGAGTCAATTCATGATTGATGCCAAAAGAAGATATGGAAGCAACAACAAGTGCAGCACAAGATGATTCAGCATAGGATCCAAAAAGATCAGATCCCATTCCAGCTATATCACCAACATTATCCCCAACATTGTCAGCAATCACCTGAAAAATTGAAGCAACTCAGTGATAAATTCACATCCCAGGAGGATGAAGCACAACTTAATTTCAGAATTCTAAAGCCATCACATATTAATATATAAAGTAACTTACAGCTGGGTTTCTAGGGTCATCCTCGGGAATGTTTCTTTCCACCTTTCCTACAAGATCGGCACCCACATCAGCAGCTTTGGTATAGATGCCTCCACCAACTCTGCCAAAAAGTGCCATGGATGAACCTCCAAGCCCATAACCAGTGATGGCCTCAAAAAGACCACCCCAGTCATCACCATAGTAGAGCTTAAATAAGTTGATGGCAATGTAAAGCACCAAAAGGCCATTAGCAGCAAGAAGAAAGCCCATAACAGCACCAGATCTAAATGCAGTAATAAATGCCTTTCCAACTCCCTTTCTAGCCTCCAGGGTTGTTCTAGCATTTGCATAGGTAGCAATTTTCATCCCAAGAAAGCCAGAAACAACTGAAGTGACAGCACCGAGCAAGAAAGAGATTGTGCTAAATATTGCAGTGGCAAGAGCAGGTTTGCACGTCTTAGATTGGTCATATGTGCAAGGCTGGCTCTTTGTACTGAAACCCTCTACCGAGCCAAGGAAAAGGAAAATCAAGATTGCAAAAGCAACCATGAAAATGCCAACATACTGATACTCAGTGAAGAGAAATGAGGTTGCTCCTGTAAACTCATAAATCCAAAATCAGATAACTGGGAAAGTCTTTTTTTCCCCAAAATTTAACAAGAGAACAAAACAAGCAGAGCAACTAAATATAAACCATTGATCCTTTGCAGACAAAACAAAGTTCCCCTGAACATTGTCTAGAGAACTAGCTAGAGTTTTCTTATTACCGTCCTCACTTAATTTGATGCAAATTCAAACAGAAAAGTAGTTGCATTTTGTAATGTAACATTTTTGTTGACAGCAAATGAGAAAGTCTTGATCCAAATATACTTCTATAGGGTAATTCAAAATTTAAATCACTTCATTCAACATTTTCTTGTAGTTCACAAACCCTTAATTTCATGAAATTACATCATTGAATTTTTAATTAAGTGATGTTAAGTTCAGTGATGTAATTTGAAAATGAAAGTGACTTGCATGAAGTGAAGTTAAGCTTCAAAGACCTAGAATGCAAATTACCTTACATCCATATTTAACAACAGTAACCTATAATATACCAAAAAAAATAGCTCATCATGTTCCAACCTTAGAAGCATAGAAATGTTTCTAAAGCATCCCACTTTCCAAAAGTGAATAAAGTGCTAAAGCATATAGTATCATGAAATAGTGCAGCATATGCTCAAATCAGCTTTTACTAAGACAATCATTCATGCATGATATGACTTCAATTTTACTGAAGCACTCATAATTTTAGGGTTGGGGGAATGAAACTAAACAAACATTTCAGACAAAGTAACTAATGGTCACTGCAAACTTGAGTCAAGGGCAGCCCTATACAAAGAATTCCATATCTGGTACAAGTTCAACAAAAAAAAGTACAAAATCTTGTATATATAAACAACAACAATGGCATCGTGGAATTCATCAAATTCAATTTTCCATAGAATTTCAACATTGCAAATTCATCAGTAGGAAAAAAGTTTTTCTTTTCACATAGCAAGCATGCTCCACGTGCTAAAAGACCATTTAAAAACCAAAAAAAAGGGCCTGGATCTCAATTATACTTTCAATGCGCAAA